GAAAAGAGGGATATAAACACATCAAAAGAAGAGGTTATGTGAACCTGTTAAAAAGTAAACTCGAGTTTATTTTTAAAATTTTAAGCACGTGTCATAATAAATATTACCTTACTAGGAAAAATAGTTCAATGAAACAATGACTAATGAACAAAATTTTCAATGAATTTTGTGTTTTACATTGTAAAAGGTAAAAGCTACTTCAATTTTGTAAAACAATAATGACAAAATATATTCTACTTATAGAATTGACTTTCGCTTTCACTTTCTCGAAATTATTCAATTATGGATACACACTTCCTAAACTAGTTTAACTAGTTTTATCCTTGGCAGTGCTGCCAAAATTGTTGATGAACTGATAGGTCAATCTCGTAACACATTGCACAGCCGTTGTATTAATTTACATATTTGAGCGATAGATGTTTCTTTTAACGTTTAATTATTTTCGACTCCTTTGATCAAAGACAAGAACAGCCTTTAGACATGGGAAGACACTCATTTCCCGTTCTTTCTCAACAGTTCCTGGTTGACGAGAAATATCAGTTTGTTCGAGAGCTAGGACAGGGTGCTTATGGTGTGGTTTGGTAATAATTCTGCGTTTTTATTTGTTACTTTTATAAACACGAACTGCTTTTATGCATTCTGTCTGATTCCAAAGCCCCGTAGTTTTAGCAATAACTTTATTGGTTCTTACTCTTATTAAACACCTCCCGAATATTTATTCTCGCTTCAGAAATCTATCCATTTATATTACAACTTAGTTTATTTGCTTGGGTAATTTTGTTAAACTTCTCTTGGTGTTTATTTTTGAATTTTTATTCTAGTGCTGCACGTAATAAAATTACTGGTGAAGGTGTTGCAATCAAAAAGGTTACCAATGTTTTCAATAAAACCATCTTAACAAAGCGTGCTCTTCGTGAAGTAAAGTTGTTACAACACTTTAGAGGTCATAAAAACGTAAGCAATTGTTGTGATATATGTAAGCTTTCACCTAATCATTAATTATTTTCCCAATGTTCATTTTATCCCGATAGATCACATGTCTGTATGATATGGATATAATTAATCCTAATGATTTTAATGAAATGTAAATAAAGCTAATGTATTTTTTCTTTTTTTCGTTCCGAATTAAACCTATAAAACTTTTAAAATAACTTATTTCCAACCTTTAACAAGATATCTATATGAAGAATTAATGGAAGCTGATCTTCATGCCATTATTCGTTCTGGCCAACCACTTACGGATGCTCATTATCAAAGCTTTACTTATCAAATATTGTGTGGATTAAAGTATATCCATTCAGCAAATGTATTACATCGAGATTTAAAACCTGGTTTGTATTAAAAATTTTAAAAAATTATAAT